GAGGCGGGAAGGGAAGGGAAGGGAAGGGAAGGGAAGGGGAGGGAAGATGGAAGGGGAGGGAAAAGGCTGGGACAGGAAGGGAGAAAAGGGGAGGAGATGGGAGGGGAGGGGAAGAATAAGAAAACAAGAAAGGCAGACAGATAAGCCTCCAGGCTCCCAAGCCTATGTCAACTGTTTCTAGATATGGAATACTCTACCACCATATAATCATATAGATTGTGACTACCTGATGCCAAAGCATCAATTTCACCAAAGCAAGTACATTCAAATATTTTTAAAAATAGGCAAAATTATATTTGCTTAGCATGGTCTCTCTCTCTCTCTCTCTGCAGAAGTGAATAGAGCTGCTGGCTCACACAGACATAAACTCCCCTTCCCCCGTTTCACCCACAAGCACCTTCAACCTCTCTGGGGTTAGGCCTGCCCTCCTCTAAGGCAGGTGACACAAGACTTCATGCAAAGCCTTGGAGGAAGGTGGTCAGGGATTCCTGACATGTAACAGAATTGCCTAAACACCATAACTGAGTAATAACACTTAATGGATATTTTTCCAGATTTTAATAATCACAGTTTAAAGACTTAAGCAAAAGAACAATAGCAACAACAAAAACAACCCTGTGTTATCCATTACCATATTTAAATGTATTTTCCTGGTCATCTTCCCAAGCATATTGTCCTCTACGTTCCATTTCTTCTACAGCAGTTCTCACTTCTTCGACCTCTGCATTTTCCTCTTCAGCTGAAAAAATGACTGAAGCAGAGGCTCTGCTCCCTTCCATCTCATTCCTTCTTGGTATCATGTATGCTCTATCCTTCCTCAGTTTCCCTTTGCTCTTCTCCGGTTCCTCTCTTTTCTCAACACTCTTTTGTTTCTTAGGTTTTGGTGAAGTTGGTTTTTTGTCAAGGCCCATTGCAATAATGCACCTATGAAAAATATTAACGTAAGGTGTTTATTAACTTATATATGGTACAGTGGAGCCTCAAAGCTTTTTAAATCACTTATCTCTTATTCTTGTAAGAAATGTTGCAAGAAATATTTTAGTATAGTGCACATAGTTAATTAAAAATAAAATATTTTTTCTTTATTCATACTAAAACCTTGTATATAAACACAATTCTTCATAATTTTGCCTTCAATAATAAACAAGAAAAGAAAGCAACTAAGAACTATAGTCTAAAACTAAAATTTGTGCCTTAAAGCATATTTTTGGCCTGGTTGTGCCCAAGCTCACCCAGCAGGTTAGGGATGGAGCTGGATTCCAGCTTGGAACTGTCAGACTCCATCACCTCACAGTGAAGTACAAAAATGTTGTTAGATTGTCAGGTATCGCCCTCTCCGATGACTAGCTACACAGACAAATATTACACTGCTTGGCTTACCATCAGGGGAAGTGCTCACACTCCCCACCAGAAACTAACAGAGTCTGCAGAAGTTTTCACCAAAGTCTAGAGACGATCCACAATCTAGGAAAGGGGCCTGGCACCTATGTGTCTCCACACTCCTCTTCTAGAAATACACATCTCCTTCTCTATAGGTTACATGACTATCATTATCGGGGATCTGAATCAATTAGAGTGGGCAGGTGAACACAGATCAAAATGCAGTCAAGACTTGTTAGTCCTAGAATAGAAATAATACGCAAAATTTGAAAACTGCCTCAACGTGAATCAAACTCAATGGCAGTTTCTTAAACTAAAGATTTTGCTGAATTTCAGCCATCTCCAGTCTAGAAATAGCATAGGAATTAATTCTCCCAAGAAGCAAATACGAGAACTTAGTTGTCACTAATCTTTTCAATATCTCCCCATACAATATAGCTAAAAGCATCTACACTCAGAGTAACTATCAGGCTGTAAAAAATGAGATAATAAGAATACACTTACTTCACCCATATTACGCATGATAAATACTTTTGGACTGTAATGATGATGAGCTTAGCACACTGCTTTGCTTGGGATAAAGGTATCATGAATCTTCACAGAATATGATTACCCATATTGCCTTCTGTTCAAGCTGTTCTTCGCTTATCAATGGCAACACCAAATCCATTGATTCGGAACCTCTGATATGCTGTTACTTTAAGTTTATGTTGTGGCTGTGTAGATGCTTGGATACCTCCCTACTGCATGCACAGACTTTTTATTGCCCATCTGCTTCAGGGAATTGGACAAACAAAGTGAGTAACATCTGTGCTCTCCTCATCACCGACTACCTAGTTGACTTCCAAGTATAATTTGAGGTGTTGATTCTGACTACTGAAGCTCAAAGCTGTCTGCATTCTACCTATTTGCTTAGGCAATTCTTCTTCCTCTGTTTGACTCTAGTAACTGAAAATAACCACCGTGTATCTTCAAACAGTTCCCATAATTGAGGGGTAAGGACCATTGCGGACCCGCCACACTTTGGAAGTGACCACGTCTGAGCTTTTCTTGTTTTCTGAGCACCTTAAACAGGCCATTCCTAACTATTTGTAGACCTGGAATTCCCTACTGCTTTATTTTATCATAATAAAAGTTCCAGAAACCACTATTTTTAAATGAATTAAAATTAATTTCATTTTTAACAAATTGGAAGAATTGATGGACAGCCCTTAAAATAACTAAGGCATTATTACGGATGTGACCAAAAAGAAAAAAAAAATGGTTACAGAATATTGGAAGTGATGTCAGTCTCCTTAGGGGTAGTTCTCAGCTTTCATTGGAGCTCTGCCTTATTGGTACTTCTGAAAGAATCAGCGGTGTCAAGTGGGGTGGGGCCAAACAGGCCAGGCTCCAGCACCCATCCCCCCATCCCTGCCCCATTAAAACTAGTCTACCTCCACTTCTACCTGGTCTGCAGCAGGGAGACATCAGATGGCACCACACTGTTCTACTTTGGACATTCACAGATTTCGTTTGAAGAAATGAATATGTAGCCAACAAAAAATTGTAAATGGGTGAAGGGAGTCAAAAGGTTTAAAAAATTAAAATTGTTTAAAAAGTAAAATTAAAGAAAACTAATGTTCTATAAGAGCTGTGCCTTTGGGTTGAGGGCTACAGGACTTACTCTTTAATATCACAACTATTTTGTTATTATTATTTGAAAAGTTCAAAGAAAGAAGCTAGAAGGGACCAAAAGAAATTGTATAAAGACCTGCACAGAGGCTAGGAAGTGTGGGATAGGAGAGTACCTGCCATCAATTAGATTGTGGCACTGATTAGTAAACCTCCACAGAAAGTATTCAGGACCGAACATTTATGGCTTGGATTTAGAGAGCAACTCCCAAAGGTTACAACGTGTTTGCACATGGAAGGCTATGTATAAGCTCATTAGTTTTCCTGATAGTTAAATGGACACATGTTAAATGACTTGCCCGCAAATATGAAGGAAACATATTTGAGTTGGAACAGGAAAGCAACTTCAGGTGGGTCCAAAGTGCAGCTGGGTACCTCTATTATATTGCCTGAGGCTATTTACGCTCCCACTTATTTTTTTTTTAACTGAGCCATCCTGCCACCTGTTGGCAGCTCAGCAGCAGCTCAGCTCGGGTCGGGACTCGAACCGCTGTTGCTCAGAGCTTGCATTCTTGAGCGAGCTCTTAACCAACTGAGCCACTCGGCCGGCTGAACACTCCCACTTTTTAGATGACTCTTTCACACTTGTCTCTCTCCTAAGACCTTCAAATCCCTCCTCCCTAGCCTTAATCTGATACATTTTTAATCAATATTTTTAGCTTCAAGTATATAAAACAATGTAATAGTTAGACATTTATACCCCTCACAAAGTGATAACCCCGCAATCTACTACCCCTCTGACATCAAATATAGCTGTTACAATTCTTGTTTGACTAAAAAAAAAAAAGAAAAGAAACAATCAGCAGAGAACTTGCAGTTGGTTGAAACACATCCACCTACCTATCTCTCTCTCTATCCTACATACTATCTCTCCACCTGTTACTATAATGTTTCCTCTCCTCTAAGGAAGGCTAATAATACCTCCATTTGAGCTTTGAATCCCATTCCCTCTAGTTTACTCAAGCACTTTGCAATTTCTCTTGATCATTTTTTTTTTTGCTTGATCTGGTTTTTTTTTCTCCTCTAGAGTATCAATCCTATCAGCATATAACCATTATTATATTATCTTAAAAAATAAAAAGCCCCCTTTGAGCCCTACATCCTTCCTCCTGGCAGCCACCCAATTATGATCCTTTATAGCAATACTCTTTTAAAAGAGTGATCTATATTCTCTGGCCTTAGCTGTTTTCCAATTATGCCTTAAACCCACTCCAATCAAGCATGCATTCCTACCACTCCACTGTTACCTGTGCCAAGATCACCAATAACTGACACATTACCTAATCATGCTCAGTCCTCCTTTTTCCTTCACTTCGCCTATCCACACATTCAACCCTGTTGATCATTGCCTTCTTTCTAATCACTGGCCTTCCTTCTTAAGCATTTTGCTGGTTCCTCTTTATCTCCCCCATTTTTGAACTGGAGTGACCTAGGCCTCATTACTCAGGCATCTCTCTATGTGCATTCAATTCTCAGCAATCTCACCCCATCTCAAGACTTTAAATTCTATCTCTCTACAAACCATTCTCTAATTTATATTTCCAGCTTGCACCTCTTACCAGAAGCAATAGATGCCTCAAACTTAATGTGTCTAAAACAAAAATCCCTTCATTCCACTCCCAAACCTGTTTGTTTGTTTTTTCTCCCAGTCTTCTCCATCTTCGTACACATTAACTAGACATCTTTCCAGTTGTTCAGGCCAAAAATTTTTTAATCATCTTTGACTACTCTTTATCTCATGTCCTGCATCCCATTCATCGATAAATTCTGTAAACTCTACCTTCAAAATACATCTAGAACACAATCACTTCTCTTTCTACCATTCTCTCTTCTCTGGATTAAAGTAGTTTCTACCCTTCCCCCTACCTCCCTAGTTTATTTTTCCCACAGGAGTTACTGTCAAGTCATGACAGCTCATTGTCCAAAACCCACTTTAGAAGCTTTGCATCCCTCTCAGAATAAGTCAAACTCCTTGCAATGCCCTTAGGACTCTACAGGACTTGGCCCCACTGTCTCTCTGACCTCATCTTCTATCATTGTCCCATTCCTTACTTTTGCTCTGGCTACACTCGCTAGGCACCCCAAGCATGCTCCTGCCTCATACCATTTCTATACACTTTTCCTTTTCCTGTAAAACTATCTGGAGAAGGAGATATTTTGTCTGTTTTCTGCTCAAAAGACATCTATCAGAGAGGCCTTTCCTAACCATCCAATACAAAATAACTCCACCCTCTGACCTTATCTCCCCTCACTACCTATATCTCCCTCACCCTACTTTGTGTTTATCATGCTTATTACCATCTGACTTATATTAATGGGTTTATTGGGATGTTATTTGCCCTTCCTCCATTATGATCAGCTCCATGGAGGCAGGTACTTTGGTTGGTTCACTCCTTTGTTCTAGCTTGGCATATAGTCAATTCTTCATGAGTACTTTCAGAAACAAATTAAAGAAAGCATGCAAGCAAGTCTCCCGATCTCAAACAGAATGTCCAATAGGAAAGCTAATAAACAAAAGTCAAAGCTGTCCTTCTATCATGCATTTTGTTATGCCTGAGATTGAAACGAGGGACATAGGAATGATAGCTGAGCCACACCATATGCAGGCACGTCGTAAAATGCATAACCTATAATAGCCAACCATATAAGCCAGATGCTTGCACATGCTTTGGGGCTCAGCCCAAAACCAGTTACCAAGAGGAATGAGAAAAAGAAAGAAAAACCAATAACAACACTGCACCTTCACTTCAGAAAGAACTTAAAGCATGACAAGGAAAAGAAGGTGCAGAGAGAGGAACAGAATTTGAAGCGTCGCCAGCTTTTATCCCCATTATACAATACACTTGGAAGTCTAATTTATATCTTATAATTTCAAATACTATATACTATATACAGGGTTATAATAACTTTTAACTTAGATATTTTAGGCTTATCTACAAAGATATCTATCTTTCTTAACACATCGTGCAGAGAAATGCATCAGTAAAAGCACAAAGCAAAAAAAGGTAGCAAAACTTGCCCTCTACCAAAGGACATTTGTTTCCATACTTGTAGCAAGGGGATGATCTCTCCACACACACAAACCCAAAGTAGCCTCGTTTGCCTCCAAGTCTGGAACCTTTCCGATGCTTATATTCACAGCAGGAGCTTAACCTGTTCACCTGCATCCCATTCAGGAAAAAGGTGAGACTGAAGGGAAAACCGTGGTGCCTTTTGGAGATAAACTGAAAGGTCTCTACAATTAAGAAGGAAATACATTAGTGAAAGCAACTGACTTTGGACTAACAAGTTCTAAATCACATTTTTCTATTAGATAAGTATAATATTATGGTCTAGATCACCTTTTTAACATGAGCACATTATTCTGGTCATTAAAAAAAACACATTCTATTACTTTTATTTATAAAAAAGACTCCAAGGCTTTATTAAATTATTTTATTTGTAAATAATAACAATAATAATAACTAACATTATATGAGCACTTACTACGGCCAGGTATTATGCTTGATTATCTTGGATATGTTACGTCTCAACAACCACATGAAGTGGGAATAGTATCATCGCTAGTTTCTAGATGCAGAAATTAAGGCTTACAGAAGTTCAGCAATTTACCCCAAATCATACAGTAAGTAGGAGAGTTAGTATTTGAACCCAAACATCTCTCTGGATTCTATGCCTCTATCTTACTGTCATCTATTTTAAAAGTGTATGACAAAAGGCTACTATGATCTCAGTAATGCTTTTAGATAAATGTGTATTTTTAGTTGTGACTTGAAACATCCTAATTCATATATGGATGAGACAGATTTATTCCATCTCCAACCGTTTCTCCATTCTATCTGAATTTGAGACCCATTCTTTTTCTACCAATAAATTAAACACCATTGCATACAATTAATAGGTTTTAATCATTCCAAGTCTTTTTAAGGCTCTTTGCAAGTTTCTCACCTTAGAGGTCCCAAACCCTAAGCCTGAAAAGCCATATTCTACAGAGTGACTCAGAAACCCGCTTCTCCTGAGAGACTTCTAATGTCACTTCCTGCAAAAGAAGCCTTCCTGGACCCTTCCACTTCTACCAATAATAGAGTTAATAATTTCTGCTTCACTGCTATGTACACATTCCCTATTGTTGCACTCACTACAATATATTAAAATGTCTATACCAGCTTCTCAAACTTTAGTGTGCATGAGAATCGCCTGGAGAGCTTATTAAAACTCAGTTTCTGATTTAGTACGGCCCAAGAATTTGCATTTCTATCAAGTTGCCAGGCTCCACTTACACTGTTAGCCCAGGAACCACACTTTGAGAACCCTGATCTACAGGTGTGCTGCCCTGCACGTTTGGGAAATCCATGACAGCTGAAACTGGTCTTATCTTTGTTTCCCCAGAGCCCAGGACAATGAGCATAGGAGGACCCCAATGAATAATTAGTGAATTGTTATTTTAACTTATTTCTTTCACAATCATCTTGAAATACTATGCTTATGCCACATTATGTCTGTAAAAGGAAATCTAAATCAGATGCGACTTGTACTAACAAATAGACTTACCAAAAAGGCAATTCATAATTTATACCTTAGTATTAGTGATGTAAAATTAAACTAGGAAAGAGAAAATTGAAAAGATAGTGTCTGGGGATATTAAACTGCATTCGATTTTAAAATCCATTTGTCTTTATGATATATGGACTCCTTAAGCGGTGACTAGAAAGCTAGTTGGACTGCTTTCATTACAGAAAATGGAATGAGGCATTCACGTGACATGATCCATTCTGCTGCACCATCACACCCCGTAACTCTCAAAGTACCCAGTCCAGGAAGACAGTACAGCCAAGGAAATGCTGAGAATGTTCACAGGACATCACCTTCTAGATGTGACTGCCCTTCCTTTTGGTACTCGTGTGACTAAAGAATCCATCCACCTATTATTCCATTTGTTTCATTTTTTTTTCAAACTTATTGAACAAGAATTGACACTCTCTGCTTTTCTTTTCATGTTAATTATTTTGTAATTTTATTTTTTAAACGTTAGCAACACTGCCCAACCCTGACTTGATGGTTTCTTCGTGGAGTAGTAGGAAATAAATAGACTAGAAATTTGCATTTTAGAACTCACATCTTTGAAATGAAGATGGCAGGAGGAGTGGATGAGGGAGTGAGGTGGAGGGGGTGACCTGTCCACCCACTTAACAGAGAAGCCTTAAAGATTACGTAATGTACAATATTAGAAAGCATTCCGTCATATTTATAAAATGTAGTTATTCGTTGTTGAATGACAATGGGAAGCACTATTTTAGGCACTACAGAGAAAAAGACATACTGAAGAAATACCAAATGTGGTCTCCTCCTTCAAGAAGTTATAATTTAGCAGGAGCGATACTATGAAAATATCCACCTCCTGGAGAGAGGTCACTAAAATCCTCTCCCTTTAAAATTTTGTGTCTGAAAATGGACAAAAGGCTTAAAATAAACTGAGCAGCAGTTACTCATGAAAAATTACTGAACTTTTGGTAAGAACAGTGGACATCTGAGGCCTCCTTGCCTGGGGCTGCTCGCATCCCTCTCACCTGCCACTGTTTCATCACTTTAGTTCTAATGGGGTAGGGCAGGCCATAAATAACCAGGAGCTTCACTGTCAGTGGGCACTGGCTGATGCGAAAAACAGAAGACAAAAAAAAAAAAGTGCCTTGGCCAGTGGCATTACCACTAATAAGTAGCAATCTCAGAGGCGAGCTAACGTGGAAGGCCAGAGGTTCTGCTAGCCTGAAACTGTAGTTCTAATTAGGGCAGGCAACAGGCCAGTATCCTAGTCAGAAATTGAACAGGGAGATACAGGCAAAAAGGCAATCATAGGTGCATTTGCAGGGGAGCAAAATTTGCAATACCAAAATGTGTCTCTTTGGCATAAGTATTATTTTAAGCTGATTATTTTTAGGAAATAAAATACTCAGGAAGAATCTTTGACCTACCCCCTAACTGCCTAAAGGAATTGAGAGGATCTGCTCAATAAAAGGAGCTATGATTCATTAGATGTAACTATAGTTTAATATGAACTAGGCGTGATAGACAGGGAGGATCCATTTACTCAAAGTTTTCTTTCTGTCCCATTGTTTCTACATGGCCCAGCAAACATTTATTTACAAATATTAGCTCTTTTTATCTCTATGTGAAGCGCCTTGCTTTCCTCTGAAGTTCCAGACTTCTACCTCCTTCTCTTTAGTCCAGAATGGCATGTACCAGGGGTGCCAAAAAAAAAATGTACACACATTTTAAGAGATGTTATCTATATATTATTACTTTTCAAAGTTGAATTGAATTACGGTAGCAATGTATAGTATGACGTTTGCTCAAAAGATGTTTTTGGGAATGATCGATTTTATTTCCAACAACTATTACAATTTTAATGCAGTTTTTTTCCTTTCTTAAAATGTGCATACATTTTTTTGGCACCCTCTGTATACCTCATCTTGCCTAACTGTCTTTGGGACCTCTTATGTTTGTGTAGATTCCTTGTGTATATTGAATGTGTTAGATTTGATTTTCTGCTGTGAATCTGTCATATGTCATTTTAATTATTCAACCAGCCCAAAGAACCAAAAGAGAAACGGGGAAAATTTCCCTTCATCAACACATCCAGTTGGCTCTCTCTATATCCTCAGCTAATTGGAAGTGGCATCCATTGGAGTAAGCCCAACCTATTCATACATCCCTGGCCAACTAGAAGCTTGTACCCATGAACAAAGGGAACACAAGAGAGCCTGGTGGAAAATCAAAGTTGGAGCAGACTTGAAAACTGCCTGAACTTGGAACGTACTCCTGAACCTACTATAGTGGGTTGACCATTGTCCTCTAAAAACTCATGACTACCCAGAACCACAGGATGTGACCCTATTTGGAAACAGGGTCTTTGCAGATATAATTAGTGAAAGGATCAAGATGAGATCATCCTGGATTTGTTTTGTCCTAAATCCCATGACTGATTCCCTTATAAGAAGAGGAAAGTACACACAGTGAGAAAAATAGAGAAGAATGACATATAAAGGCAGAAGCAGAGATTGGAATGATGGAGCTACAAACCAAGGAATGCCAAAGATTGCTGGGACTCACCAAAAGTTGGAAGAGGCAAGGAAAGGTTCTCCCCTAGAGCTCTTAGAGGGAGCATGAACCTGCTAACACCTTGATTTTAGACTTCTGGTCTCCAGAACTGTGAGAGGATACATTTCTATTGTTTTAAGCCACTGATTTGGGGGAAATTTTTTATACTAATCCCCGGAAATTAATACACCCACAAATAGATCCACTGTCAGAAAGTGGAGGCTTTTACTGGCTCAGAGTTTTTTTTACTATAACCTCTGATAAATCACTGGATCATCATTAACTATGAAAACACAGACACAACCCTAAGAGACTAGCCTAAAAAATAAAAAGAGATTTTTTTTTTTAAATCTGAGCAGAGACATTACTGGCTGTATACTAAGGAGAAAGGAGATAATTTCACAAACTTGTTCCAGGTAAGTTACTAAACAAACAAACCACAACAAAAACAGCAAGAATAATAACCTTCAAGAGGGAAAAATCAGAATCCAGAATCCACAGTTGCTCTAATACATGATCTAAAATGTTTGATTTTCAATAAAAAATCAAGACATGTTAGGAAACAGGAAAGTGTCACCCATACTCAGTAAAAAGAAGCCGTGTGCTAGGAACGTACTCAAGAGAAATGAAAACAGATGTCTACACAAAAACTTGTATCTGTATATTCATAACAGCATGATTTACAATAGTCCTAAAAGTGGAAACAATACAAATGTCCATCAGCTGGGGATGGATAAATAAAACATGGTATATCCATGTAATGGAAAATATATAATCAGTGATATAAGGGAGCAACTATTGACAGATGCTAAAAAATGGATGATTCTCAAAAACATTATGCTAAGTGAAAGAAGCAAGACACAAAATACTACCTATTATATGATTTATTTTCTACGAAATGTCCGGGAAAGGCAAATCTGTAGAGACTGAAAGCAGGTCAGTGGTTGCCTGGGGCTGGCTCTGAGAGTGAAGATTAACTGCCAATGGGCACAAGGGAAATTTTAGAAGTGGTGGAGATGTTCTAAAACTGGTTTGTAATAATGGCTTCAAAACTCTATAAAATTCCTAAAAATCAGTGAATTGTACATGTACGATGGATGACTTTTATAAAATGTAAGTTATACCTCAATGAAAGATATT